GGGAGCAAGTTGCACGTGGGGAAAAAAATGCGCCTGATTTAAATGTCACACCTGAACGCTCACATCCTTTTAATTATATTTGAAATTATGAACATTGCTCAACATCATGAAAATTAAACCTTATTTTCAATAAGCAATCCTGAAAAATATTTGGGGGTACTTAACTTTTTTCCAGGTGTATATATATAAGACTACCGCATATCTCTCGAGAGTTAATTATTATGTATTGTTTACATATTAATTTATCTACATGATGAGTTTTAAAACAAGCAGTATCAGTCCATGTATATTGTTTACATATTAATTTATCAACATGATGAGTTTTAAAACAAACAATATCAGTCCATGTATATTGTTTACATATTAATTTATCTACATTATGAGTTTTAAAACAAACAATATGCTACATTTATGATGAGAATGTTTTGATTTCATCATCTTTATTTATGGATCAAAATGAGTTATTTAAAAATAAAAGACCAAAAGATCTAAAATTCTATTTTAAAAGTTCTGATTTTGAAACTACAATGGACAAACTAAGAGAGATGTGTGTGAAGGAAACATATAGTTAACTTGACTTTTATCGTAGATATCTTGGTTTCTAATGTTTCTTCATTCTAATCAAAGAGAGATGTGTGGAAAGAAACATATAGTTAACTTGACTTTTATCGTAGATATCTTGGTTTCTAATGTTTCTTCATTCTAATCACAACTATAAATGTGCTATGTTGTTGTTCTTCATATTAATATACATTTATTTCTTAATGTGTTACATGTGCAAAGCAAAGACATTCATGTTTCTTCTTAAATGTACCTTACTGTATTTATAAAATACAGTCTTCAGTACTAATGTATTATGTCGAATACCTCTGACACTTGAACTTGGGTCGTAACAGACATATAAGGTTGTATGAATATCGTGTGTAGCTAACTTGTATAAGTAACAATAGTAAGCTGTGTTTATATTTAATGTGACACTGTGAACTGACATGAATCAACTTTTGTTAGGCTTTTCCTTTTTATGTGTTAACAAATACTGGGTTTAATCATTCACAACAAAAACATATGCTATTTTGTTTCACAGCCATGTGTCCCAGTTTTATTGAGGTACGTTACAGACCCCGAAGCTGGTGCCTATCTCCGAGCTCTCAGTCTAACAGCTCTTGCAAACTTGGCACTCGAAGAAGTGATCGTGACCCCCTATAAAGGAAAACTTAATTCTCTATTTCAACTTTTAGAAGAAGGAAACACTATCAAAATCCAAGTCCTGAAACTTCTAAACAACTTATCCTGTAGCCCAGACATGATTCCTTTCTTATTAGCTTCCAAGGTGAGATCTTACATGATGTACTAGTTCAGACACTTTATCTAGGAATCTTGAAACTGACTGAAGCACTAGTTTTTACATATAAAGGTCACACAGTTCTTATAGCACAGAAAATATTCACCTAATGTTTTGTTAACAACACTTTGTTAACTGTTATATGTGTGCATAAAATGTGTTCAAATCAAATAACTTGGAAAATCATACCATATATAATTTTATTTCCATATTAAAAGTGGTTACCTGGTATTGTATGTTATATTATGTGAAATGAAAAGTATACAGTTATTTTTTTGGTATGAAAATATTTTATATAATTTTAGAAAGAGTACACTTAAAATACTAATTATGTGTAAGTATCTCTTGAATTAATCCAGAAGTTTTTTTATATGTAGTGTCCTCCAATCAGTGACATGTTGGATGTGAACAAGCATGGCAGAGATCTCACTTTACGACTTCTTACATTTTTGGGAAATGTGACAGCTTTAGCTGCTGAGCAAAAGCTCAGCGTTCAAGATTTGCCTGTTGATGACAAAGCACCATCTCCAGAGACATTCTATTCCACCATCTTTGGACATCTAGGGAAAGATGTTATATCCAAAAAGATGCTGACATTGTCAGCCAGCAGTGATGAAGAGATTAGCACAAATGCTCAGAAAGTTTATAAAATTTTGAGTCAGTTTCATCTTTAGAATTCTGGAAAGCATTTCTTGTTAGTAAGTTTAGAGAATTAATCAGGTAGCTTTTAGTTTGAACCTAGTATTATACTTTACTCAAAGAGACACTCCTGTTGGTAGCTTGTTCAGACTAATACTGAATCAGTAATGATCACATGGATTGGTCTGAAGATACTGTGCTGTACTTTACTCAAAGAGACACTCCAGTTGGTGGCTTGTTCAGATTAATACTGAATCAGTAATCATCACATGGATTGGTCTG